AAACTGTCATTGGACCCGCAACGAAATTAATCAGAAGAATATAGGAGTTCGAAGTTAAGGTTCGACTTCCCTCCAGGCGGATGACAGACTACATTAACATTATTTACATTAATCAATGTTTTTCTTGGCAATCGACCTTGTAATCTCGTAATAACAAAGCCGATTTCTGCAATTAGGACAAACTGAAAATCGCACGCAAGCTGTGGAGTGTCGTAGTACAACGGATTCATTAAGAAGCTAGCTTGAGAAATGTCATAGGTTCAGAGAAATTGATTTTGTTACAGATCTTCTCGCTCTATTCCCTATTCTACTGCAAATTGTTTTTGTTAGATTGCATCTTGAAAATTGGTGGTTTCTTGTTCAATATCATTTAGAAGTAATAATTTTGATTACTTTCAACTTACTAGCATTTATAATTTCTGAACAAAGTCGCATGTAGGTAGGTATCCGTTAGTGATGATGAAAATATTTATAATCCTATCTCTTGAACTATGTTTTCTCCGCTCTGCTGTGGCTCTCTTTCAAGTCAACATCGTATTTTGACACGAAAAATCTTTCCTTATTTTGTCATCCTTCATTTTCGTGGCTTCCATTTTTGTTATCTAAAGAATGTAAACAGCAGATTAGTGTTTGATCTACCAATGTGACTTTACGGTGTTTGTTATAGTAGCTCAGAAAGTTTAAAATTATGGTGGTTATGCGACTACTTTTACGGCTAACTAACAGATAATACTTATTGAAGAAAACTTTTGAACAATAAATACTATAAATGAGTCATATTTCTTGATTTAATGAAAATAAGACAAAAAAAAAACTCATAAAACTAATTTATTTTTGCAAAGGCTTTTAAAAAGCACTTTTACACGTCCCAATATTAACCCTACCACTGCTTGGGGACAATAAATGGGCCAGTGCTGAGAAGAAGCAGAGCAAGAAACTCACGCCCGTATTCACAAACATTACTATGAGGTCTCACTGTGCGCGTGGGCGCACAGGGTGACACACGAACCAATCAGAGAGCACTATTCAACGCTGTGCGTTCGATTTGCTGCTTCATTTAAGCAAGTATCGTTTGTGAATACGGGCGTCAGTCACTATTGTCAGCCTCCTTTTCAAGGGTTTACAGTCTTTAAAATATACAAATTATAGTCGATACGTTGACATATTTGATTAACAGAAACATTTAGATGTAAAATAATGTTAAAACATTTTCAAAAGATTTAAAATAGCATCCTAATATTATTTCTGACTTTTGCAGCCATTAGAACGTTTTATATGCTCAAGTTGCGCTTATCAGCCGCTATCTTGATTTACGCGGGAACTTCGCCGCCATTTTGTTATATCTGGAACAGCTGCTAGTCGGAAAAACTTAGGTATACTTAGCATAGACGCTGGGACGATGCCTTTGGAATTCGACGGACTAGTTGAGATATCTTTAGTATGCTGAGAAGAGACTTATTTGATTTTACACAAGAAAAAATACGTTAACTTAAGAGAAAATTGGCGGTCAAGCTGTAGACCTTACTGTAGGCTACACAGAAGTTCCAGCGGTGGGAATAGGGACTATAAGAGAAAAAACTAAAAAAACTCCTAAAACTCATTTATTTCTGTAAATAGGCTTAAAAAAAGCACGTTTACACGTTCCAGTATTAACCCTACCACTGCTTCAGGACAATAAATGGGCCAGTGCTGAGAAGAAGCAGCGCAAGAAACTCAGACACTATTGTCAGCCTCTATTTCAAAGGTTTACAGGCTTTAAAATATACAAAGTTATAAATATTTATGCGAGCTAGGCAGTAACCCATCCCAAACATTAAAAAACTTAAAAAGTGTCTGGGCCTGGATGTAAGAAATAAATTAAAAGTGTTTTTATTTTATTTAATTTTGACGTAATTTACGAGAAAATTGATCTTAAAACTAGATAAGAATAACAATAAAATCGAATATACAGCAATAACCAGTGAAGAGTATTGAGAATAGCAACTCTATATTTATAGGCCCTACACGTACCTATCTACAATAATTGAAATTGAATTCGCAATGAAGTTATTTATAACTACATGAAGTTAAGTTAATGTTTAGGCTTGTTAGTGTTACTCAAAATTCATAGCAGACAATCAATTTATCATATTTATAGAACAAAATGCTGGACGTTTATTAAGATTTCGTTTTCGCTAGTTGAAAATAATTCCAAGTATACTACATTATGATGAAAATTATGTGCCCTGCTCTAGTAAATAGTACTGTGTTTCAAGAAGATGTAGATATCTTACTGAAGACTCGTTGAGCGAATGATTTTAATGAGTATCAGAATAGAACGCTTACCTCCTATGAGAAACGAAAATAACAGATAACAAGAATAAGCACAGACAAAGGAAATACTGGTAAATATAAATAAAAGTAAAAAACAAAGCGTCAGCTCTTTGTAATAAAAGATACCTCTTTATTTTAACTTCGCTTTTCCCTATGTTTCTATCAATTGATTAAATATGGAAACAGGGAATATTGGGAGAAATATACCTTCTCAACCCTTCTCCAGCGTGGCAGGAAGATAAGTCAGTCCTTCATATTCCTGAAACTGGAGAGAGTGTTGTTCCTGCTGTAGAGTCTACAAGATCTCATGATGATGATGATTAAAATTACGTTTATTGTTTGTAGGCCATGTGTCTTGTGCAAGTATTTATGTTTTTCAAATAATTCAGGACCTAATATGGAATAAGCCTTTGATTTGAAAATATAATTTTAAATGTAATTTTAATCATCATCATCATTATGATCTTGTAGTATCTACTGCTTTGTAAAGAAACCTCTCAACAACCAATAAAAATAGAGAAAGAATGCAGGCGGGTATAAGTCGTAGATAATAATTGGTTAACCACTGTTTATTGTAAGCCTCTATGAGGGTGACATATTCACTAGGTGAATAAACCTCGTTAATAAATAAAGATTAAAAAAAATAGAGAAAGAAGAAAACATTCTAGAACGTCATCCTAGTTTTCCTTTTATCGTTAACCCTCCAATTTATCATGCCTTATCAATCGTTTATTATAAATTGTAGTGGCCCTTACATCTCAGCTCATTCGGAAACACGCTATGGGTGAAGTAATTTGTCAAGCTATACGGAATTCCGGTGGCTTGTCTACGCAATAAACAGTCGTTTATCGGAACCCGAGAGCCGAGATCAAACGACAAATACCTTTTACAGCGTATATACGTTTACGCCATAGATATGTAGACAGATGCCAACTAATGCGCTGAGTTCGAAACTCAGTGTCGCATTAGAAATTCACACACACAAAGTAATCAAAATATGTGCCCACTGCGGTATCAGCCAGCACTCAACGTTCGAATAATCTTTAGTACTACCCAAGCAATGTAAACTGTTTACATTAAAACGTCCCTGCTGTCATCATTTCTTACACGAGCAATGTGTTCTGTTTTTGGGCATATTGCTGCGACACCGGCCATGCCCCCTTGTCACATCTCCCTATAGTTTCTGTGATCTGTGGGTTACGCTATCTGTACAATGTTTTCAATATTAGTAAGTATTTACTTACGTTTGCTTTTAAGCATATACGTGGACATGAACTAGTAGGTATACTGTGTACTAAAGCAGTTTGTTTAAAGAATATTAGCAAATCCGTTAACTCCTCGTGTTACCCACTAGTAGTTCACGACAATTCTCAAGCGGCGGCAGGGATCAAACCCGTGTTCCTCGGATCACGAGACGGTCAGTCCAACACCTTTACCCTTTTGGGCCGCTATCAATAGGTAATTATGGAAATCATTGGAGAGGCCTATATTCAGGACTGAACGTCTTATGGCTGAAATAATGTTGATTGTCGGACTGTCATAGGATTCTGGCTAATATCTTACCAGAAAAACAATGTTGTCCCAGTTTGACTAATCAATCATCCAAGTACGGTTTTACTGTTTGACCTCCCCGGTTATCACCCGGTTATATCGTTCTCGGAGGAAGTTTTGCCCGCTTTACGATGTAATTAATTTTAGGACGTGGGGCCGAGGACGAAAAAAGCGTAGATCAGTCCTTTTGATTCATTAGAATAACTCGCTTTGAAATGTTGGAAAAACGGAGCGTTCAAAATTCAATGCATTCTGAGGAATAACTAATGAATTTTCTGTACCTATTAGTTGACAATCTAAAGTCCAATTTTTGTTTTGCATGCTTATAAATTCAACATTACGCATCACAATTTGTAAGCATTCTTATGTGTTGCATAACTTTTGGGAGGACATTCTCCTTTTTCGTCGTCGATGACGATGATTCTGTGTTTAATTACTCTGAAACTAAATGCCACGGCGAACTTCGTACCGCCTATGCTCATCAGAAATACCTAATGTAGGATTCTAAAGATGAAAGAATTTTTCAAATCGGTAATTATAAGTAGTTTCGGAGCCTACTTATTACAATACAAACAAACAAACAATTAAATCTTTTCTCTTTATAATAACACTAATATTATCATAGAACCGATGACTTTTCCTTTCACCAATCATGGCTATATTTCGTACATATCTGACCCATGAAGGCTATCAAGTGCATTTGACTTTCACCTTCAACCCTGTAAGGTGAGTCATTTGACCTTATCTGACCTCAAAAGACGCCCACGATTCCCCATGCCACCTAAAGTAAATTATCAGAACGGGACAGACGCTGTTGTTGCATTCGGAAAGTTTCCGTTTGACTTCGTTGGACAAATAACTTGGTTCAATACGTTAGAAAAAGTACTTAGTGACGCTAGTTTTAGTAGTGACTAGCTTTCCGCCCACTGCTTCGCTTTGGTCCATTATAATCTCTTTTTGTCCATAGAAATTTTGGACCTCTTTTTAGCGATGCCTGTTTCAAAATAATCTGCATTCTAAACTGGTTGGTGCTGTGTGTTGATAGATCATAATAATAATAATAATAAGCCCCCCAAAATCCTACCTTTCGTCCGAGCCGAACACCAGGCCACGTGGGGGGCGGACACGCGTACTGTTGAAACTTACGCGGCCAACGAGGTAAAGGTAACCCATTCAACATGGAGCTTAGATCAAAGAAAGTATTGAGTATTGGGCCGCTGCCCGGGGGCAATCGCCGGGGCGCACCTGGGGCCGGTGCTGGGTGCTCCAGCATGCGATCCGCCGGCGACGAGGAGTTGAGCAGGCGGGCTCCCGTCGATAAAATTGCTACAGCCGAAACCACCCTATTGAGGGATTCTCCATCCCCTCAATCCAGTCTTTTCCCGTCACCGAATTCTTCTCCTAAATCGTATGAAATGGCTTCTTCAAAGTCACCGTTATCGTATAACAGCAGTAGTGAGTTTTCAATGGATGTTGCGCAGGAGACAAATTCTGTCAGTATATCTGTGCCCACCATTTTTAACATCAGAAAACCCAGAATGAGATGGACCGACGAATACAATGAAGCAATAATCAGGTCCTACTACCGAATAACAAAATTAGAATCTGCCCGAACAACATATAGGAAACCATTACATCAAGAATTCATTACGCAATTCCCTAATCTTTCACACGTATCCGAACAACGAGTAGCCGACCAAAGACGCTTGATAATATGCAACAAATTGTTATCCGACTCCCGCTTACAAGAAATTAGGACAGATATAGCAGAGGAACTCCAAATAAATAACACGCAAATAAATACAAAAACACAAGATAGTACTCTCACTTCTGCACATTCCAATACACAAGGTACCAACACCACCAACACCAGGATGAGATGGTCCGATGAATTAAACGAAAGTCTGATGAGATGTTATTATATAGTTACAGAATCAGAGACCAATATGTCCGCTTACCGAAATAAACTACACAAAAAATTCATTGACACACACCCAAATCTCGCACACATCACGGCACAAAGACTATCTGATCAAAGACGATCGATAGTTAACAATAGATTGGTACATCCTAACAAATTACTGGAAATAAAAAATGAAGTAACAACAGAAGCTAACACTAACGAAAATTTTATTCAGTCGCCAAGCATAGATTGCACAATACCAAATTATTCTACGCAAGAAAATACATTTACTAGTCATACGATTGATACTAATTCTATAACTTACGCTGAACAAAATAGCACGCAACAGACAAATACTACAACACTGGAGGAAGAAACACATCAAAGCAGGACTGCCCGTACAGATGACTCTGATTCAGATGCCAACCGCGAGATTAGAGATACCTTTGAAGAAACCTATTTAGCTTTCATTGATTCCGAACCTACTAGTAGACCATACATCAGGAAACAGAAAACATCGAAAAAGTTATCTGCTATAATACACTATATTAATACAACTATTCTTCCAAATTATTTAAATAAAGAAACAGACTTTATAACACTCCAAACGATAATATATTGCGCGGCATGGACAGCAGCTAAATGCAATGGAACAAAAATGGAAACAACTACAGAAGGGACAAACAGAACAACAGTTAGAAGGCCTAAATGGGAAATTAGATTAGAAAAGAAGAAAGAAGATCTCAGAGCAAAGATAGCTAAAATGACTCAATTCAATAACGGAAATAGAAGCCCAGCGTTAATAGACCAAGTAAAGAAAATAATGGATCAATACAAGATACATTCAGTGCATGAAGAACCAAACACGCAAATTACACAATTCATAGACACTCTTAAACAAAAACTTACAGTTATAACTAGCCGAATCAAAAGATACAGAGCATGTACACTTCGCAAAACACAAAATACACAGTTTCATTATAATGAGAAAAACTTCTATCGCAACCTTAAAACTTCTACAACTAATAACGCATCAAACAACGAGCAAACGTCTAATTTCAACATTCCCGCGCCTGATACACTCCGTAATTTTTGGTCTGAAATATGGGAAGAACCTAAAGATCACAACGACAAAGCAGAATGGATAGAAGCTGAGTACGAGAGAAATGAACACATACAACCCATGCCATTTGAATTCATCCCAATAGATACCTTCCAAGATGTAATTAGGAGACTCCACAATTGGAAGGCCCCAGGATCTGATAAAATACATAACTTCTGGTACAAAAAACTTACATTTATACATCCCTTTTTACATAACCACTTAAATGAATACATTAAAAACCCTGAAACAATACCCGATTATATTATGACAGGAACTACTTATATGATACCCAAAGACTCCACCGATACTACCAATCCAGCTAAATACAGGCCGATTACATGTCTCCAGACTATTTACAAAATACTAAATTCTTGCTTAACTAACGTGATGTATGAACACATAGAAAATAATCAAATTCTTGCGGAACAACAAAAAGGATGTAGGAAATTTAGTCAGGGCTGCAAAGAACAGTTAATCATTGATTCAGTTATATTACGACAAGTGCAAAGACAAAAAAGGGAGCTTCACTCCATGTATATAGACTATAGGAAAGCTTATGACTCTGTACCCCATACCTGGCTCTTAGAAGTTTTACGTATCTATAAAATCCACCCAACCCTGACGAACTTTTTGCGAACTGTAATGCAGAAATGGACAACACGCCTTAAGGTAGCACATACTGAAACTGATCCTATCTACATCAAACGCGGAATCTTCCAGGGAGACTCATTAAGTCCACTCTGGTTCTGTCTAGCCTTGAACCCATTATCCAACCTTTTAATATCGTCAAACACAGGCTTTGAATTGAAACACATAGATACTCACACTAGCAGACCGACCACCATGCAAATTAACCATCTCATGTATATGGACGACATAAANTTACAAAGCCTCGTGAATATTTTTTTTTCGGACTGGAGAGACGGTCTTGTGTTTTAGTCATATAACGTCCCTAATTAGTTGACCACGACTGTATATAAATCTGTATGTACAAATCAAATTACTATGTCCTATCCTATGCTGATAATTTATGCCGCTTCTGCCGTCAAGTCAATCGATGTACACGTGACGGAACATCATAGTGCCTTAGATAGTTCAGATAGTTGTAATAGTTTTCTCCAACTGGAAAAAAAAATACTATAGCACGCGTGATGATAATTTTAGTTACTTACAGCTTTCCTGTTCTCCCATTCGTCTTCGATCAGCTGTATCAGCGGCTTGCCGTCTACTGTGAAGGTGGTGCCGTTCTTAGCTTCATACTCTGTGACCAGCTCGCGGAGTTGAGCTTCGATCTTCGGCAACTGATAAATACATAACATTAGAATAAAAGTATCGTTTAAATTTTCAAACAAAAGAAAAGAAAACGAGATAAGTAATAATATTCTAAACATATTATGGATTGGCACACTGTATGCGTCCTCATGTATGCATGAACAACATTGCAGGAAGAAGTTTCATTAGGCGATTTTCACACTGCATTTCGTTCACGGTACACGGGTGACAGATAAATGTAGGCGCACATTAGGCGACACGCGACAGCGACAGCTCGGCGACTAGACGACTATTTTGACAATTTCATATTATATCAGCTAGAAGTCGCGACTCCGCGATTCTGACACTAATGTGCGAAGCTTAAACAAAATATATGAAATTGTCGGCCGCAGCCTCTCGTCGCGTCTAAGTCGCCGAGCTGTCGCTGTTGCATGTCGCCTAATGTGCACCTCCGTCTACACGCGGCGAGACAGGCGCAGACGTCCGTCTGTCCGTCCGTCCGCGCGGGTGCGATCCTGTTATTAGTAGCCCATAAAAATGCTGTACAACTTATGAATATATTAGGGATGTTTCCTGTTTAATTAGTCCGTCAGTTAGCTTATCGAAAACCACTCGTTACGTATTTTTCACTTTTTAAAACTAATGAAAATGTAAAGAGATAAAGCGTGGCAAAGTTCTAAAGAAAAGGCTCGTGACGTCAGTGAGTGCGTAAAAGTGCAGCACTTTGTGACGTCGCGCGGAACTTCAACGCAATATAACTTTGTAATTATTTGTTTGATTGACAATTCAAAACATGTGTCCAATATCTATATATATAAAAATGAAACCCGTTTCGCGTTGTCACGGCATCACGTGTGAACGGCTGAACCGATTTCGATAATTCTTTTTTTTTAATGTTTGTGGAAGTCCAAGGATGGTTCTTACGGAAAAAAATATTAAGAAAATCTCTACGCTAAGGCGGTACGAAGTTCGCCGGGTCAGCTAGTTTTTTTATAAAAATTGACGGACTAAAAAAATTTTTTTAGGAAACTAGCCTATTAGTACAAAAGACTGGGTGATTGACTCACATTGCTAGCAATAGCTTTCCGTTCCTTCTCTTCCCGCAGCAGCTGTCCGCCTCGGTTGTGGTAGCGGCCGGGCTCGGTAGCCCGCGCTTCCAGCTCTGTCATCTTCAGCCAAAGGTTCTTGCGGGTCATCACCAGCTCGAATATGTGTCTGGGAACAACATCATTATCATCAATCATCGGGGTATCATCGGGTACTTGGCATCAGTATCGATCACTAATCACCCCCTGATAGTTATTTTGAAAATATATTTCATGTACAGAATTGACCTCTACAGATTTATTATAAGTACTAGCGGCTGCTCTATCTCGAAAACGGTTCACTGTATAAAAAAAAAATTTAAACAAAATTTGTAGAGAATTTAGTATTCTACAATATTGATAATAATAATAAATAATATTCCGAAACTATCCAACACGTAACAGGTGCATGCAAAGCAATAGTACAGACCGACTACAAACACCGACACGACCAAGTCGCCAATATTATACATCAGAAACTTGCTTACAAATACANGACATAAAACTATATGCCCAATCACAAGATAGTCTCTATCAGTTAGCTAATCTTACAGAACAATTCTCAAATGATATTTGCATGGAGTTCGGGATTGATAAATGCAAAATTAACGCTATAAAAGCTGGACAGAACCAGAGACACACCTACCAGATGGAATCTGGACAGCGAATTGACTCATTGGAAGAGAACGAAGTATACAAATACCTAGGATACAATCAGGCTAAGTTAATAGAATACAAAGACACAAAAGCTAAATTACTGCAACAGTTTAAGCACAGACTCAATTCTGTCATGAAAACCCAACTTCACTCCCGCAACATTACCAAGGCAATAAACTCATTCGCAGTACCAATCCTAACATACTCCTTCGGCATTATTAAGTGGACAAAAACAGAACTCAATAGCATACAAAGAATCATAAACACTACACTTACAAAGCACAGAAAACATCACCCGCGAGCATGTATCCAAAGACAAACCCTACCGCGTAACGAGGGAGGCAGAGGAATCATTGACATCCAAAACCTCCATAACAAACAAATCACTACGCTCCGCTCTTACTTTCATCAAAAGGCCATAACTTCCACTCTCCACCAGGCAACAGTACAAGCTGATATTAAATTGACCCCTTTAAACCTACAAGACATGTCTACCCAAGAAAATGAACTGCAAACTTCAACGCAAACAAAAATCAGCGAATGGACCCGAAAGTCTCTCCATGGAAGACATCGCCATGACCTATGCCAACCCAACGTCGACAAGATAGCGTCGAACGCCTGGCTTAGTCGTGGGGAACTCTTCCCTGAGACTGAAGGGTTCATGATTGCGATTCAGGACCAAATCATCGAGACCCGCAACTACCAGAAGCATATCATGAGGATTCCTAATTTACCTACCGACTTATGCAGAAAATGCAATAGCAGTTCCGAAACTATCCAACACGTAACAGGTGCATGCAAAGCAATAGTACAGACCGACTACAAACACCGACACGACCAAGTCGCCAATATTATACATCAGAAACTTGCTTGCAAATACAAACTAATTACGCATAAACCTACGCCATACTACAAATATGAACCCGAACCTGTACTTGAGAATAGTCAATACAGACTATACTTTGACCGCGCTATACTCACCGATCGGACTACACACTATAATAGACCAGACATCACGCTTCAGGATAAGAATAACCGCACAGCAACTATAATAGATATAGCTATACCCAACACTCATAACCTGCAGAATTCAATATCAGAAAAACTATCCAAATACACAGATTTAAAGGATGAAATCAGGCGGATGTGGCGCCTTAATGAAGTTAACATCGTTCCAATAGTGCTTTCAACAACAGGCGTCATACCGAAACAACTACACCAATCATTAAATACACTTAATTTACCACCACTCACCTACATATCACTACAGAAGGCAGTAATTCTGAACACCTGCAGAATCGTAAGAAAATTTTTACAAACCCATGACAGCCATAACCAACCAACAAGGGCAGACACCGACTCTACAACCACAAACTAATGATACATTTTATCAGGATTGCACTTGGCTTAGGCCCGTGCATTCCCTCGAAACCGGCGAAAAGCTGAGGCACAAAAGTGTACACCGACAATAATAATAATAATAATAAATCTTTGGACAATTTCACACAGCGCCAGCTAGCCCCAAAGTAAGCAACTTAATGATAATAAATCTATACAGTGTGTCCGGGCTTGTAGTGATCAAACTTTAAGGGCGTAATCTATGGACAATTTTATCGATGAAAATACTTCAAAGAAGAACGGTCACGCCCCATACAAAAAAAACCCAGACCCGACAGAAACGAGACATACCTCAGTTTGTTTGTCATGTCTAAATTAGTTAAATTATATATTTTTTATATTCGAAATCTATGTATAACACCAAAATAATACCCTTTGTTTTTGTTCAGGCGTTATACAAAAACTAATACAAAATGCCTATTTATCACTAAAATTGGTAAATGTATGTACCTAAATGTCTATTACAGCTGCTATGGAATGTACCTAGGTGACCTGGAGATACAGCCGGATTGTACAGGGTGGTTATACATATGGAACGATAAGTGATCTAACTCGATTATTTCTAAACTATACAAGATATCGAAAAACTAGTTACTGATTCTGAAAGTGCTTCACGAGCTCTTTCAAATNAACAAGGGCAGACACCGACTCTACAACCACAAACTAGTGATACAATTTTATCAGGATTACACTTGGCTTAGGCCCGTGCATTCCCTCGAAACCGGCGAAAAGCTGAGGCACAAAAGTGTACACCGACAATAATAATAATAATATTTTATTTAATGTATCCGGAGTTACAAAAATATGCCCTCTTAAGTAGCTACATAATATGTATAAACATATCAACTAACTTAGGTCTAAGCAAATTATTAGAGGTTTACGATGACAGCTGTACTAGTATGCACTGTGTCACAGCTGTCAGCATCTTCCACCTTCAAAGTTACAATGAGAAGTTAGTAAATTTGTGAGGCCAAGCTCCCACAGGAGCAATCACCCAATTTAAAAGATTATAGGTCGTGTGTAGAATCGCAACGGCACCTAGAAACCTATATTTCCAGCTTTCATACATTTAATACAGTTACAAACAAACACGACATCAATGGTTTCTGAGAATTCTGAGTGCCTTAATGCCGTCCCCTTTATCTGTTTATTTAGTATTTATTAATTAGTATCTCTTGATGATATTGCAGCAAGTTAAACCTAAAATCATGTTTTCCGTAAATAATTTAAATAAGAATGCAATTTACGACTTTGTTGTTTGATTATTATATATGTATTACTCAATTAAAAATTTAAAGGACAGTGCCAATCCATATATGGAAGTTGGCCCAAGTGCTGCCCAGAATGAAACCATACCGCATTTTGTTCCTCAGGCCAATACTAATTTGTAAACCGGAGCGCACTGAAACCTATCCCTGGAGCTAAGAGAAAAAAAGAGTTTTGTTTGGAATTATTTACATACAAAATATCATCGATGTATACGTTCTACGCATACGATTTTGCGGTTGTGGCATTAAAATCTTCATTTTAATTATTTTAATTTTCATACAAATCGGAATTTATAAAAATTATTTTGTATGAAAATTTAAAAAAATTAAATGATGATATCAAATTTCTGACTTCACCATACCATTTATATGCCCATGTTAACATGGGCTAGTGTCGGCTCATATACCCATTTACCTAACACCCTGTATAAGTATCTACAATACAAATACCTAACCAACTTAGTTGACGTTTTATAAAACTATTTGTCTAAGTGTCATCGAGCGACCGCTGNAACACCTGCAGAATCGTAAGAAAATTTTTACAAACCCATGACAGCCATAACCAACCAGTTGGGCAGACACCGACTCTACAACCACAAACTAGTGATACAATTTTATCAGGATTGCACTTGGCTTAGGCCCGTGCATTCCCTCGAAACCGGCGAAAAGCTGAGGCACAAAAGTGTACACCGACAATAATAATAAAAATAATAAATACACTTTATTGCACACCAAACAAATAACATAACAGAAGATAAGGAACACACAAGGTACAATTAGGCGGTCTTATCGCTATGAAGCGATCTCTTCCAGACAACCTATGGTGAGGACAGTGAGACAGATCATAGTTAGTAACGGTTACATACCTTTTGTAAAGATTTAGGTTTAATATTTTGAATCTCTTACAACCTTCAAAAAAAGGAGTATGTTGCTTATAGGGTGGAAACGATAAGTGAGCTCACTCGATTATTTGTAAACTATACAAGATATCGCACAAACTGGTTACCGACGCTTAAAGTGATTCATGAGCTCTATCAAACGGTATCAATATTAAGTTCAGAAAAAAAAATTCAATGTTTCTAACTTCCATACATTTGTTACAGTTTCCATTCTGTATTATTATTGCCATGTCATTAGTAAGTTTTAAGTCATTTCGTTGCCGCGTTGTTGAAATCAGTACATTTATTTACTGCCTACCACGGAATAACGTCAGTGAGACTTTAGATCACCTTCAGAATTTTATGCTTTGTCACATCACAATATTATTATGTCAAGTCCCATGCCGTGTCGCTCCCATACCTCAAACACTGACTGAGTTAGCACTAAACCTATACCTTTACGCGTCAGTCGTCCAAAAGTTAGTACTCAACACGGCAGCTGCATTAAGTTTGCGTCTCATTTGATGTGACTGTGATTACATTTCGAACCGAGTTTGCGTTTGATGCAGTTAGCGCCGTGTTGGTTTGGTACTACTTTAATGAGGCTGTCGGAATGTTGGAGCGTATGGGAGTTTAATCTATCATTTGTTGACTAGACGTAATGGGATTGTTTGTGACAGTAATACGTATAACGATTGACTGTTTAGACACCCATTACACATAAGATTTGATTTGTATCTTAATTGTATTTCCTCGCAAATATTGTTCTTTACGTTAGTTTTATGCAACTGGTTAAACCAGACCAAATTTATTGAAAACTGAAAGATTTATCATTGATTCATTTAACTTCTTTATTGTTATCCATAAAACCTCATTACAGGCCATGCAAGGATGGTCAGTCAAACTATTAATATGAAGAAACATTAGTTGATTTCAATCGTGAAAATGGAAAAGCAAACATTTTTAAATCTGAAATCCAGTCTGGTCTGGAATCTAGTAATTAAATAAAATTGAACATCTTATAAAAACCATGTTAGTTTGTACGCTATCGGGTGTCTTAAGTGTAGTGTATCGAGAACCAATTTAAGTGAGTTCGTGAACTTTATTCTTCGGCCTTTTTTATAAGGAGAATAGACCGATTTGTCTGGTAATTAGCGACCAGCAAATATTTCATCCTTTAAGATTACTGATGAACTAATTTTCGAGTCAGTGTCAGGAAATGTAGCGTAGGATGTTTACCTGATCGATAGACCGACGATCTCAAGTAAATAGATGACCGCAGCCGGATGAAAAAATCAGGCGATAGTGCTTTCAGGCATTCCTTGCTCCGTCTCGTTCAGTAATGAACTCTTATTATGATGATTTTTCTAACTTCCTTCTACAGTGCTAGTCGTAGCATCTGAGGTTACTAATTTATGACTTTGTAGTAAGAATCAGACACAGTTGCATTTTAGGTGCAGCAGTTACAATATTTCCATTTTTTTCTTTCTAGAAATAAGTACCAAGTCATATATTCTCAAGTAGCGTGATATCTAGCAGTTATTTACAGAAGATCAGAGCATAAACAACAATCCCCGATGGAACCTAAGCGGGAACAGCATCTCAGGTCGGATATTGTCTGAAAGATTTACAGTTATCGCACACGAGAGTCGCGGAGAGTAAGTGCTGATCGATTACGTATAGAAAATAGAAGAGCTTCCCTCTTGTGTACGTTTTAGGGCCCTCGCCCACGGCGACTTTTTGTAGCGATGCAGTCGCACTGCTGCAGCTGTACCGCGTTAGGAGCGTTGGCATCACTTCTGTAGTGCGTTGCAAATGCGACTAACGCGTGTTAGTAGCGATGCTGTCGCCGTGGGAGAGGGCCCTTAGACCGCATGGAACGCAACGCATTCGACAACGCATCGCAACGAGCTCGTCGGAACGCATTCGAGTTTCATGTCGTGCCCGATTTTCAGCTTTTCTTTGACACTTCGGTTATTATTAGTCTTTTCGTACTTTATGGTACTTACTCGTACCTACTTACTGTCCATTTCGTCCTTCTCCCTAGATGCTGCGCTATAATGTGTCGTTGTAACTGCCACTCTAGGCTTTAATTCTTCTTCGACAACAAACCTAACCCTAACTCCACGCAAGAGTGGAGTTGTCTGTAGCGTTCATTAAATTCTTCCTGCGTGCTTTAATTTGAAGGTAAGTAGTGTAGAGTCTAAGGTTATTTCAATATTTTAATAAACAACCGTGTAAATCTATTATTAATTAAGTGTAAAAGTTTCAGATAGTTTCTTTTGTAGTTACATGGATATTGACCTAGTTTATTAGAAAATGTGATTAATTTAAGTTTCGAAGTCAGTTCAAGTATAAGTGGCTGTTTTATTCGCACTGGCGATCTGACGGGTATAATCGTAAATTTGCCGAGTGGGCTGGGCTATTAACTATAACACAACAAGGTAAACACGAAGTTAAACCACCTAAATCATGTACAACTTTGCCGAACTACCTGCGGGCTGCTAAAGAACTTGTACGGAGTAATTTCGGAATAATTTATTACAATGTGTTCTTTTTCGAGTAACACAAGTAACACAATGTTCAAGTAGTTAAAATTTTGTTAACATTTGGAAAGTTTGTGTTCTTTCATTTAATTTGATGTTTGGTGTTGTTTTAGTTAAGAATGTTTGTCGTAAGTTAGTTTGGATGTAAACAGAAATTGCGTTTCTTTTTTGTCATAAAACATTATTAATTTGCTCTTTTAATAAAATAATGTTATTATACATGATGTCCCTAAAAAGTAGTGTCAAGCCAAATCCCAGAGATAGAGCATCACTAGGGCACCTATATGAA